GGCCCCGACCGACCGCGCGGGGGCGCTTCGGCCTGCTGGACCGGCCAGCGCTGGGGCGTCCGGGGACCGCTGGCAACCGTGTGGGCAGGGCTCTGTGCCCGGCCTCTGCGCCGCGTGGGCAGCGATTGCTGCTAATAAAGAATAACAACTGTGTTTTGTCTTTTTTATTAAGGTAAAATAACCCACGGTTTTTGCGGAAGCTGAAAAATACAGGAAACTAAATATCACCTTTCACCTCAACACCTGGAGAGATGCGCAGGTAATTTTTGATACATTTCCTTCCAGTCTTTTCTCTAGGCGCATGCAGTGTTTTTCCTTTTTTAATTTATTGCATAAAACTGACATCAGACGGTATAGACTATGTATTGGCATCTCCTGCTGTTTTATCTGGCATCAAACGATGAGAATTTTGCCTTATTGATAAAGTGTTACCAACATACTTTTTAATGGTTGTATATTGTTCCAATTATGGTTGAACCCCAATCGATGTAGCCTATTGTTGCACATTTAGATTATGTTTATAAGCAATACTATAGTTTGAAATCTATTTGATGATAATCCCACAATCCATAAATAAACACTAATGACATCTCATTATGTCACTTTCTGGGGTGTTCCATGCATTTAGCCATAAATATATGCATTTGCACCTACAGAAATAATGTCATATATGTACATAAGCATACATACACACGAATCCCTGAAACCTCTTCCTGTACCAAACACATACAAATGACAGATTCTTAAAACAGTGAATGAATTGCAGTGTTTTCAAAAAATTTTTTTAGAGTAGCATGAGGAGTAGGCAAGAGGAAGGCTGTGGTGCAGGGAGACAGGCTGAGAATCTGGTGCTGGATGAGGCTTCAAGGAAATGGGTGGAGACAAAGAAGAAAAGAGGACCAAAGAGAGTACCCTGGGTTCTCCAAGGTTAAGGGCTCAATAAAGGACTAACAGAAACTCAGGAGGAACAACTGAAGTGGTGGGAGGAAATTCAAGCTCATATAGTGTTCTGGAAGCCAAGGGAAGAAAGTGTAATCACTGCTTTTTTAGAGTGCATTTCTCTTTTCCCACGTGTATCAAAGTCTGAGAATTTTCTAGTCATATCCTTTGCCCATGTTTCTATTGTATTTGTCTTTTTATTGAGTTTTTAGGAGCTCTTTATATGCTCTGAACATAAAATCTTCATGTATATTGCAAATATTTTCTCCTAGTCTACCACCTTTAACTTAGTCTAGGGAATTTCAGATATGAGAAGTTTTTAATCTTTAAGTAGGTCTGTCACTTTTTTCCTTTATTGCTTCTGGATTTTGTATCTTACTTAGAGATGCCTTCTCTCCCCAACCCCTGACCTCAAGACATAAAAAATGTTCTTCTGACCACAAGGTCCAGAAGAAAACATGGGAGACTTTTTCCTATAGAATCCAGATCAGTGCTTGGGCCATAATGGGTGTGTGGTCCCTGTGCAAAAGTGAATGTAGGGCCACCTGGTTGAGGACTCTTTCCCACAAGCCTTCAAGAAACTGTCTGCATTTTGGAGGTTTCATCCATGTGCACGTATGTCCTCCTGACTCCTCATTTTATCTTATTATAATCAATGGCTGTTTGGGTGAATGGACTGCGGGTGAGCTTTTTTTCTACTTTGTTGAATTTTCTAAGTTTCCTTCAATAAGCAAACACTACTGGGCCTTTAAAATGAAAATGGAAATGGAAGCTTGCTGACAAGCATAAAGAATAATGATGAGGTGAGTGGACTGGAGATAGGCCTGTTGAGCAGCTTTGGACAGCCTGGACCAAGAGAAAAGAAGGTGGACTGTGGACTTCCCTGAGGTGGAGAATTGGAAAGATGGGGCTTCCAGAGGGAAGTGGGGGATCCCAGGGCTCCAGATGGATTGGTGCAGGAAATGGTCAGTTGAGAGAGTGGAAACGGGCCCTGCGCACTTCTACAGGCAGCGGGTAAACCAGGTATCTGGAAATGGCTATGCCATCAGTGCGTGAGTGTGGCTTTTCTACTGTCCTGGAAGTGGCCATACCAGTGCCTTTTGTGTGCACCAACGATGGGTCTGGAAGTGGAAGGCACTGTGGGCCTGTTGATGGGGGGGAGAGGAGGCGGCACAGATGCAGTTAGCAGGAAAGAGGCTGTCCAGCCATTTGAGGACATCCCTATGCTTCCTAGAGCCAAAGGTCCCAAGAGAAATACCTATTCTCTCCCCCAATCCTCCAAAGAATATGGCATAATTTTTTATTCTTAATTATGTTTCTATTGGCTAGGACTCTTTTAGACTATCTCCAGGAGAATGCAACAAATTTATAATAGTGAGACTGCCTCTGGGGAAGGGTCCTGAAGATTTGTATGGGGCGGGAGACTGACTTTTCATAGCCTTTTTGTGCCATTTGAATTTTCTCCTTTGTCTGAATTTTTTGTACTGTGTATTAATTTTAAAAAACCATTTAACATGTCATAAGCCTTGGAAGGAAAGGCACCCAAAAATTTAGTCCCACCAAAAAAAAAATGCTGTGTGAGAACAAGCTTGGAGAAGCAGAATAATTTTGCAGACCTGTGATAATTTTTCCTAGTCTTCTGCCAAGGCCCCAGGGTCACACCAGACCCCCTTAAGGGAGCCCAGAGCTTGATACTTACAGTCTAGCATCCAGACTGTCCTTTTCATGAGAAGATGAGCTTTCTGCTGCCTAAAAGCATCATTGTAACAAAATCCTGGCTGATGGGAGGAGTCCTTCCTCTTACAAAGATGGTTGCAAGTATTTATTGCAGCTTGTTTTTACCGAAGTTGTTTTTTTTTTTTCTAAACTGAGCACATAATCTACAGTCTAATTGGCAGAAGGAGTTACCCAGAGCTGACATGTGAGATGCTCTGAAATGACCCCTCTGTGGTCCTGGCCCCTCTTCACGGCCCCAGAGGTGACCTCCGGACTGGAATTTCAAGCAATTCAAGAGTATGCTCTCCCACACAAACCCTCCCCACACCCTGTAGAGGTGTTTGTTGGGGGATAAACACCTGCTGGATTGACTTTGAAAATGCAACCCTCAGAGCAGTTTTATTTCTGGGCTCACCGTGCCCACCTCTACCCCAACCCTGGACAGTCACAGCTTTGGCTGTGAGCAGGGGCTGGAGGTCTGGATCTGGACTCCTGACCTAGGGCTGGTGAACTGGAAACCTCAGTCCTGCCCAGCACATAGCAGTAGCATAGCACTGGGCAAAATGTTGAGAGAAGGAAAAGTCACATCCCCACCCTCCTCACCCCTCTCAGATAGAACTGGGGTCTTCCCACTCTCTTCCTCAACGTCTCCGGGTCCACCCAACCCCCACCACCAGGCCCTCCCTTCTGCCACCCCCACCCACTGCTCCTTGGCCTGGATGATTAGGGCTGCACTGGAAGGGGTGAAAGGCCACAGCTCCAGCCTTCCTGAACTGTGCCCCACCCAGCCGGAGGCCACCTCTTCCCTGGGGAGAAGGGGTGCAAAAGCAGATTATGTCCTTTCGCGTTTGGATGCAGCCTTCCCACCACAGTCCAGGAAAGAGGGCTTGCTAGAAGGTGATCAGATAATTAGAAGATGCTTAGGTAAAACTAGTGACAAATTCAGCCTCCTTGATCAAAGAAACACCAATTAAACACTATGATGCCGTTGGTACCACATGACCCATACCCTCAATGGGCATAAGATTATTGTATAAACTGGGTTCTGAGGTTGCTGACACCCTCCTTGCCCCTCACAGCCAAAACTAAAGGCTAGGCCAACCACTAGAGCCTCCTCTGGGGCTACCCCCTTGGGATGCTCCTCTGGACCCCTTGGGATGACATCTAACCTGGGCCACTGAAGCACCCAACGGTTATGTGTCAGCCCCCACCGCGGGCCCACCTGGGGGCTCCCCATGGGAAATACGCTCTGAGGCCACTTGGAGCTGCCAGTCGAGGGGTCAGGGAGGCTGCGGGAACACAGGCGCGTGGGGGCGAATCTCACCTCCATTTGCACAATCATGTGACCTCGAACAAGTTGATGAACTTTCCCGCGCCTCAGCGTCCCCGTCTATGAAGTGGAATGGCAAACACAGACCCCACAGCGCGGCTCTGTTGGCAAACTGGAACGGAGGCTCTCAGGATGCCAACCGGTGGTTGTAAGTGGTGTTAAACCGTGGGGATCCATCTAAGGCTACCCTAGTGGATTGTTACTTCCTCAGGGGCCCTCTTCGCTGGGGTAGGGGGGTAGGCGGTGTGTAGCTCCAAACCACATACTGAGAAGCGGAATTTGGGAAGCCTGGATTTCGCTCGAATCCTGGTTGGGAGGGAGT